CTCCGCGCCGGGACCCGCTCGGGGGAGAAACGGAGAAGCCAGGCTTTCCACGCTGCCTGTTGCTTTGTGCACAAATGGATACTTTCACCTTTTTTCTTTTAAAGAATTTTGAAAATAGATGTATATATATCAAAAGGCCGATTAAATATAAATTATCATTCAATGTAACTTGTCACCTTTTATATCGACAGAAATTACCTATTTGTGCACAAGGGCATGGACACCGAGCGAGGATAACGTCTCCGGTCCTCGCTCTTGAGTCGGGATGCTCTGTGTCTTTTGGGTGGGAAATGTTGGGTGCGGGTATGGGAGGGCTGCCTGCCCCCGCGCCCCGAGAGCCCCCGCTCTGCGTACCCCGCTGTCCCCGAGGGGCTCGCCCTCCTCCTGCATTGAGGCGGGGACATGGGACACTGAAGTTGGTTTCCACAACGAGTATCTACTCCTTCAGCCTCACAGATCCATACATACACGTGTTTTGGAGAATGAGGAGCTGGAGAAGGTCCACAAAATGGAAGGTCGTCTTCAGGCTGTGCTAGCAGAAGTGTAGCCAGTGGGTAAGTGGAGCGATGGTTCCCCTGTTCTGGGCACTTGTTGGACCACATCTGGAATATTATCACCCGGTTTCCACCACCCCCCCGCCACACACACCCAAGGAAGATGGTGGTAATGTAGAGGGGACACAACAGAGGGCCACCGAGATGGCCGGGGCTGGGAACACCTGGCCAAAGAGGAGAGGTGGAGATGGGCTGTGTCACCCTTTCCTGTACTGGAGAAGAAGATGGAGTCAGGCTCTTCCGGAGGTGGCTGCCGGGAGGAGGGGTCACCACCAGAATAAGAGGAAAGAGAGGAGGTTCTGGCTGGATGGAGCAAAGAATTCTCCCTGGGGACAGCTGGGCACTGGGCCAGGGCTGCGAGAGGTGTCGGGGTCTCTCTCTTTGGAGGTTGTCACGAATCAGCTGGACAAGGCTCCGCACAAGGTGAGCTCAGAATTTACCCTGCCGCGAGCAGGAGGTTGGACCGAGACCTCCCGAGCCCAGCCCAGCCCCACC